TGTGATTATTAGAACTAACTCCATTTAAGTTAAAACAAACATTTATAGACAATATTTGAAAATTTGGGCTTCCTGCTGGTTGGGGATGCTGTAATACCATGGGAATCCTAAGAAGACACAGAAATCCTGGCTGTAGTCTGCAAGGCAGCCTTGACCCAGCTGTTTTGAATGTTGAATCACCTGGAACACTGTTTCAGGGGTTCTTGCTTGATCAAACCATGCTAGGTCTGGAAGGATGCCACAGCTTTTTATTTTCTGTGGAAACAAAAATAGAAATTCTTTTCCCCATAACCTGTCCTTAGACTTAAATTTTGAAATCAAAGCATTTTTAGAATATGTAAATTGGATTAATCCAGCAGCGTTTCTTTTAGCAGTTGTTGCTATTTCCCCAGCAGTTAAACAATTCAAAGACAACGCGATAGCATACAGTATACAGACTCAGTGTGTATGTTTATGTGGCTTTTTTATTACTCTATTTATTTTACTTTTATTTTTTCCTTTATTGAGACAGGTTTTCTCTGTGTAATTTTGGCTGCCTTTGAACTCACTCTGTACACCGGGCTGGCCTTGAAACCACAGAGATCTGTTTGCCTCTGCCTCCCGAGTGCTGGAATGAAAGGCATGTGCCTCCACACACAGCTACTCTCTTTCTTTCTTTTTTAAACCACTTTAACCTGTTTCTTTTTCTTTCCCAAGCCTATGTGTATTTTAAAACACACTGTAAAACCTTTAGAGGCTTTTGTTAATCTTAATCTATTTTTACTGTAAATCTTTATCTTTTTCTGGCCACGAGTCCTTTATCTGCTAGACAACAACACTGATAAAATTAAAGCAGTGGCTGTCTTAGCCAGCTGTTCATGCACACAATTCAGTCGTTAGCAGGGCCTCTTAAAAGAGCCCTGCATTTTTTTTTTTTTTTTTTTTTTTTTTTTTTCTGCTTATTCCGAGTCAGGAAACTTCCCTTAAAGGAGCCTCACAAGTCTCTGCTTGTCTCTAGCAAAACAGAGCCCAACCAAGAAAAATGCTGCTACCAAGAAGCCTTGCTTGTCTTTGCTCTTTTGTTTCTAAAATCCCTTTTTAATCTTTGGTCAAGTTTTAAGGGGAAGTTCTTAGTACCCATGTTGTAGGCGCCATTTTGTTACGAGCACTTTCCCACCAGCCTGGTCCCAGAGCTTCGTCAGCCCCAAATAACATGCACAGATGCTGTATTAGATAGAAAGCTGTGGGCCTGTTACTAGCATTTTTTATTGGCTACCTCTGCCTTAAATATTAATCAATTTCTACCCATCTAAGTGTTTCTATGTTTCAAGTAACAGAAACATATTTACAGAATGACATCTCCCAGAATCAAATATGACAATGGGCTTAAGAAGGAAAACCCATAATTCATTGCATTTCCAAACAGGGGCAAGCATGTATCCTCATATTTCCTGACTATATACTTTATGACCACATGTGACCAGGCACATCTGGTGCAGATGGGTCAAACAAACTTGCTTAGAGAAGTGAAAAACATAGGATTTTTTATCACCCATAAACAACAGCCTCCAACATTTCAGGGAGTATCTGTCCTTGGGTAAGGAGCTGACAGATCAGAGGCATTTTTATTTCGTGGATCTCTAAGGCATAGTAATTAAAGGTTAAAATGTTACTGTGACTCTCACAGTACCATCGTGCCTAGCTCATGCTAGGCCTCTTGTGTTAACAGATTAATTTGTAGTTTTCCTTGATGTTGGGGCACATGTGGACAATAACAGATGGTAGGTCTCCAAAAGCCCAGAAGCATCCGCTGCTGGCCCGTGTGTTACAGCTCTGGCGGGAAAGGTATCCCATTAGTCAGCAGCCAAGGAATACCACAGAGTCACACTTCACAACAAACCACACACAAGAGATTTATTGGGAGAGACACAGGAGGGTGACTGTCAGGGAACTGAGCAGGAGGAAGGCTTATATAAGCTTTCTTGGGGACAGAGATTTCCAGGGTGGAGATTACTAGGGTGGGGATTGGTGGGATTTCAACCTCAGTGATTGGTGGGTTTTTGTGTTCAGCAGTTGCTGGGGTTTGGTGAGTTTGCAAACCCAGAAGTGGACTCCTATTTTTTACCATACACATGGACCTCGTGATCCAACACTTACTCCCCACATGGAGCCCTGTACTCACCACAGTCCCCCTTTGAGTCGCTGAACTTGAGTTTCTGCACATTCTTGAAACCCTTCCTTACCTTTCCTACTAGTAAAGCCCTCTTGGCTGGGTGTGGTGGTATACTTCTCTACACTTCTCTAATTCCCACACTTGGGAGGTGGAGGCAGGGTAGTTGCAAAGTCAGGCCATCCTAGGATACACATCAAGTCCCTGTCTCAAGAACGAACCACGCTGTCTATGGTGCAAACCTGTCCCTCTTCCCCTGAGAACTGGCCCTCCCCCCAGGAGGAGGTGGTCATATGGGTCTGGTCCTAGGACCAACGTCTGTCTGTACTCAGGCAACCCAGGACCCACACGCTTTCATTTTGGTCATTTTCGCTGTGTAGCTCAGTCTTGCTTCTGTAATGGCTAACTTTATGCTGATGGCTAACTTTACATTTAAAAGTTTGACATCTCTGTGCTTAAGAGAGATATAAAGCAAAATTAGACCTCCAATGTTAAGGGTGATACGGGTTAATTTTTTTTACTACTGTTTCTGCAGAGTTTTGTTAATAAGCCTGTATTGCACTAGAGGACCCTCTGCTTGCACAGAACAAATGGAGACTTGGTATTCTTTGCCTTATAAACCCTTGACTGAGGAGGCTGGGCACTGCGTTCAGGAACCCTGAGTCAGGTATAGACCTGGTGACAGTCGGAATGAAAGCCCCTTCTGGGTTAAAATGCATTAACGGTCAGACTTGTGAGCCTCTGAGCGACCCCAGACGCACTTTTATTGCGGCCATAGAGGCAGTCACCTCAAGAAGTTCCTTTTGAAACCAAGAGTTGAATAAGTACCCAGTTACTCTGACTACAGCATTCTCCTGTGTGTGTGTGTGGGGGGGGGCAGGAACCCATCATCTTCTCCTTCATTGTCTATGAAATGAAATCACCTATGAGCATTTTCTGTTCTCCCTGCTCTGTTTGCTCGGCTTTTCCTTCTCAGACTGTCCCTAATCGGTGACGGATGTTCATTGACACTCCCAGACCCTGGTGGGGGCAGGCTCTGGTGATGTGTCTTTAATCCTGGCATCCAGGAGGCAGAGGCAAGCTTATTTGTGAGTTGTGGTTGAGATGCCATGCTGTGATTGGCTCTTGCACTGAGGACAGAGCTGGTAACTCTGGAAGCCAGGAAGGAAGGAGTGGGGGAGGGAGGGGTGGAGGCAGGGGTCGGGGAGGAATCCTGTTCAGCAGAATGAACGCTGGGTAGAGAGAGCCTCAGTGCTCCCCTCCCTGTCCTCCTCCCTGAGAGCAGCTGGGATGACAACGTGACGTCCATTTTCCTGTATTTGTGCCCACTCCCAAGTAAACTGTGATTGAGGTTATTTTGTAAAATAAGTAATTTCTTGAGGTACAGGGAATTGAGCCCATCGCCTTCTGCTTGCTGGGTCACATCCGGACCCTCTATAAGAGGGTTTTGCCTCTTATAGAGTAAGTATATGTAGTTGAGCATTGTGGCACATGATATTAGGGAGGCTGAGGCAGGAGGATCACAAATTTAAGATCAACTTGTGCCTCAAAAGGAAAAGAATTTTCAAATGCAATTAAGAGCCATATTGGTTGACATCGTGATAATGTGTGTGTGTGTGTGTGTGTGTGTGTGTGTATACATACATACATATTTCTTTTGAGACAGGGTCTGTCTACATAGTCCTGACTGTCTTGGAACTCTCTATGTAGACAAGGCTGGCCTCAAACTTACAGAGACTCACCTGACTCTGCTTCCTCTGACTAAAGGCATGTGCCACCATGCCTGGCTCTACAAGAGCCCTGAAAAGGGACCAGAATTTTCCTAGCAAAGTAGACACAGTGTGAAGCAATTCAACACAAGGGCATTCTCTGATACTGACTCTTTTATTATTATTATTATTGTTATTATTATTATTATTATTATTGTTGTTGTTGTTGTTATTATTATTGTTATTATTAAATGTATTTATCTTATTACTGTGTTTTACTTGCATGTATGCTATGTGTATGCCCGACACCTACAGGGTCCAGGAAGAGGGTGGCTGATCTGGAACTGAAGTTACAGACACCTCTGAGCTGTCACGCAGGTGTGGGAATAGAACCTGGATCCTTTGGAAGAACAGCTAGTGAGTGCCCTTAACTGCCGAGTCTCTCCTCCAGCTCTGACTCTGGCTTTAAAGTTAGAGGAAACAGGTGGCCAGAAATGTAGGAGTCGCATGTAGCCTGTGGGTGACCTGTGGTTGACGGACAAGAAGGAAGCGTGGGTGGTGGGGGGCGTCTGTCCTGCAGCCACATGGAGATGAGCTCTGAGTGGATCCCCCTGCAGAGACGATCTGAGCCTGAACCTCAGTTTCTTGGCAGTCTGAGCAACTCAAACCCCGCTGCACCAAATGTTTACCTGTGGGTCTGTGCTGCTGTGAATGCGGTTTTAGGGGGCATTGTTTTGGGGCGCTCAATGTGCAGTAACCCTGCAAGGAAAAAACAACAAAACAAAACAAAACAAAACAAAAAACAAGCATGCTTCCTGATAGACTAAGATTCTGCAGTCTGAGGTTTGTTCAGTCCCCCTTACCCATCGCTCAACAGGACCTGCAGCACTGTCCTAGTAAGATCAATGCCCTGCTGCTCAGGAGAGAGAGGCCAGGAACCAGCTCTTCACCGTTCTACTCCCCGGGCGCATGGATGCTCCGCTCGGGCTCCTCACTGCTCTGCTGGGGCTTCAATGGAGCCCATGCCCCTCAGGCCCAGGAGGGAGCTTGACCAATCTTCACTCCCCTGGCTCCAGCGAACTTTGCCCAGACCTATTGATCGGCGCAGTCGGGGGCAGGCAGGGTGACCTTCCACAGACGCCATGAGGGCTCTGCTGCTCCTGGGGTCCGTGCTGATGAGCCTGGGTTTGATACTTTCGGTGAGGACTGTGGCACTAGGAGTGGACCAGGATGGCACTAAGGGGTCCCTGTTCCAGCTTTGCTAGTTCAGATGACTGGGACACTTGTGTGGGGGAAGGTACAGCCAGCCCGGCAGGCCCAGACAGGGGAGCCCACACTGGTATGGGTATGAGGACACAGGCTACATTTGTGGGGGAGACAATGGAATGAGGGAGGAGGGCCAAGACTTGTGAGGAAATCCTGTACTGTGGGGATGTGGAAGGAAGCTGGGACCTAGCATAAGGTCAAGGAAAGCCTGACGTCCTGCCTTCTCTCCCTTGTAGGCTCCACCATGGAAAGGCCCCAAGGAATCCAAGCGTGGAGCTGACGAGCCCACGGTGGGTAAGTGACTTCTCTCCTTCCTAATCTACCGTCTGGTGGGGACGAGTGTGCTCTGGCCCGTGTGGTCTCCATGCAGTCTCAGGCCTGTGGGATCCTGAGCACAGCTGTTCAGATGACACCAGGCCTGAGTGCCTCCAGATCCAGATGACAGCAAGTCCTGTGCCCGCGGGCCAAGCCTGGGCTGCACGGGATGCCTGTGTTAGAGCCTGGCGGGTGTTCGGCAGTGGGGACGTGTGCTATTGGTGCCATTGCTCTGAGCTCTCAGAAGTTTTCCTTAGCGTACCCACCTTCCCCACTTTCCTGTCAACACATCTGGAGGGCATCAGTCATGACCAATGGAGCTCAGACCCTCAGTGGGCGATGGGAGCCACATCAGACTCCCCCAAGATCACAGATGTCCCCAGTGTCTCCAGCCCTTGTTTTCTTACTTGTGAGTTTACTGTTGGCTTCCCTTTCCCTGTCTGTAAGACTAGATTGGTAACAGTGAGTCCCTCAGGATTGAGGCGAAGGAGAAATGAGTTGCTGATCCTTGCAAAGAAGTCCACCCAGAAGCTTCTGTCTGAAGAGTGCCATTACCACCTTAGCCCTTAGCCTAGGACTGTACATGTGCACACACACACCGCTCTGTGTTTGGTATGCAGCACCATGGAAAGAAAAACTTACTAACTCTTAGTATACTCCACTTAGGCGGAGGGTACAGGAGGACCAGCCCTGCCACAGGGCTTGTGAACACAGAACCCTACCATGGTGAGCTATGTCTGCTGAGGCCAAGCTAAGGCTTGTGGTGTGATACGTCACCGAGAGGCCCAACACAGTGTGACCCTCCAGCCTCTCCTCCCAACCTCACACTAAGCCAAATAGCTTCTGTCCTTTCAACCTGACCCAACAGTGGGCCCCTGTTCTAAAGGGCTAGGCTCCTTCCATTTAACCACTTTGTTGTTCAATGTCACTAAAAACAAAATCACAGAAAATGTTTGTTGAGCACATCCTAAGTGTCTAACGTTGTCACTAAGTGTCACATCCCCCCCCCCTGAAGTAGACAATTCTTCCTTTTGAGATTATAATGTAATCACAAAATATTCCCTTTCCTCCCTCCAACTCCACCCCCATATACTTATTTCTTATGATTAGTTATAGTCTATATAGGTACAAGAACATCAAATTCACAAATTCTATTAGGTCCCCATGGACCTCTGGCTATGACATTTTCACCAGTTATTAACATGCAACCTTATTTCATATGTGATTCTGTTTTAAGACATCTTACTCCATTGTTGAACTCTTAACGCTGACCTCATGGCCAATAGCATGGTTACCTCCTGCCCGAACAAGGCCACTCTGACACTTTGTCCATAGGGTACACAGCAGCTTCCTGAGCTCTCGCAGGTGGGAGCCCTAGATAACACTTCAGCGTACCCACAGAACAGCTCTTCCCCTCTTTCTCCTGGAAGTGCTGGGGGTCAGTGCTAGGAAAATGCTTGGCCACTGAGATAAAGCCATAATGCTGTTTAGAAAAGGAAGGAAAGTGGGCTGGGCATGGTGGTGCTCATCTTCAATCCCAGCACTCGGGAGGCAGACCCAGGTCAGCCAGGGCTACACAAAGAAACCCTGCCTCAAAAGGAGAGAGAGAGAGAGAGAGAGAGAGAGAGAGAGAGAGAGAGAGCGAGAAAGAGAGAAGGTCAGAGGGCAACATTCAAGGGCTGGGTTCTTACCTTCACCTGTTGACATGAGGGAGCTCTCATTTCTGCTACTGGGTTCCGTGTTTTGGGCTCACTGGCTTTTTGAGTTTCCAGGCAACTTTTCTGCATTTACCTCCCCTCTCACTATAGGGATACCAGGATTACAAGTGCGTGTCACTGCATCTGGCTGTTCACGTACGCTCTGGAGATCAAATGGGTGTGTTAGGCTTACATAGCGAACATTTTTACCCAATGAGCCATCTTCCAGGGCCCATTGACCTCTTTTCATTTTGATTTGGGACAGTTCCCCTAAATTTCCCTGGCTGCTTTAAAATCATTCTGTTGAGTAACTCACAAGTCCAGGCAGACCTTGAACTTGCCATCCTCCTGCCTCAGCCTCCTGAGTAGTTGGCATCACAGTCCTGTGTTAAGCAGGGACTGGCTGCTTGGGATTATTTTTAATGAAAGGGTCTCCCATGAGAAATGAAAACTACTGCAGCAGATCTCTGTGAATTTGAGGCCAAGTCTGGTCTACGTAGTGAGCTCCAGGACAGTCAGATCTATGGAGAGAGACCTGTTCAAAGAAGAAAGGGAGGAAAGAGGAGGGAAGGAAGGGAGGAAGGGAGGGAGGAAGGAGAGAAGGAAGGAAGCCATACTTTCACAGGCCACGAGGCATACTCCTTTAATCCCAGGTCTTGGGAGGCAGAGGCAAGGGGATCTCTGAGTTCAAGGCCAGCCTAGACTACAGAGCAAGTTCCAGGATAACCAGAGCTACACAGAAAAACCCTGTCTCAAAAACCAAAAACACAAGAGAAAGGAAGAAAGAAAGATAAAAACTACTGTGCTAAATGGATGTCGAGAAAATACTTGTTTTCAGTATAAGAGCAGAGAAAGGGCAGAGCGCTACCTTGTCGGCCCTCAGCTAGGTATGTGTGTGTGAGCCCATTTTCTTTCTGATCCATACAATCCTAGATCACGAAGGCGCTGCTGAGTGTTTGGAAGTTTGTTTGGTTTTTGCTTTTCCTTGTGTTGTCGTGCACATGTGAGCCAAACCCTCTACTGCTGACTTATACCCTCAACCTGAATCACAAATATTGGTTTAGGGGTTTCCAATAACTTTTTACAAAGCAGACAGCTTTGAAAATGCAAAGCCAGTGGATAATGAGGATTGATAGTCCTATTACTGTTTCTATTTTTACTAATGAGCCGAAAATACTACCTAAATATTTATTAAATGGCAACTTTGTGACAAGCACTTGGTTTGTTTCAGACTTACCAAGGTCACAGAGCTTGTAAGTGTTGGCATCAGGAACCTATTCCAGCTGTCTGCCTCTCAAAGACAACTCCCTAAGCAGGATGTAGTCTTGAATGCAGAGTGACCTTTTTAAGGATGCTCCTTTTTCCAAGCAGGCCCCACAGGCAGAGCTTGGGCAGCAGGGCATAGGGTGGGCCTCAGAAGTGTGTTACTCCCACAGTTCTCACGGTCGATGGGAAACTCTGCCACTTCCCCTTCCAGTACCACCGTCGTCTGTACCACAAATGCATCCACAAAGGCTGGCCAGGCTCCCGGCCCTGGTAAGACTTTCTAACGGGGGTTGGAGGAGGGGCCTAGATAAAATGGATTCTGCCTATCTGTCATCTGACTAAGAATTGTGTTTGGGCAAAAGGCTGTGTTTTGTGTGTGTGTGTGTGTGTGTGTGTGTGTGTGTGTGTGTGTGTGTGAGAGAGAGAGAGAGAGAGAGAGAGAGAGAGAGAGAGAGAGAGAGAGCGTGTGTGTGGTGAGGAGGGCTAGCCAGCCTTCAGGCAGTGCAGGGAAGCCTCATTTGTTTTCAAAGGTGTGCTATCACTCCCAACTTTGACCAGGACCAGCAGTGGGGATACTGCTCAGAGCCCAAGAAAGTGAAAGGTACTGCATGCCTCCCATGCGCCAAGGCTGCCTCCTGCTCCCGTCCTGTTCCCACCCACCTACTGGGTGTCACCAGACCCTACACACTTGGGATTCTGGGCCCAGCCCCTCTCCTTCTCCTACAGCATCCTTTCAAATGTCAGAGGAAGAATTCTGGGGAAAGAGATCGCCATTTCATAGACAAGCTCAGGGACGGGATGGAAACTTGGGGTTCTGCAGCCCTACGACAAGCAGGTCCAGGTGGGGTGCTGGTCCCTTCGTGTGTCACTCAGACTCCCTGGTGTCTCTCTCTCAGACCACTGCAGCAAACACAGCCCCTGCCACAGAGGAGGGACATGCTTGAACACCCCCAGCGGCCCACACTGTCTCTGCCCAGAACACCTTACTGGCAAACATTGCCAGAGAGGTAAGGGCAGCTGCCTGCCATGGAGAATCCCCGAGAACCCGGAACATTGGCATGGTTCCAGTGCCTTCCTTTTGTCCCCAGAGAAGTGCTTCGAGCCTCAGCTTCTCCGGTTCTTCCACGAGAACGAGATATGGTTTAGAACTGAGCCAGGTGGTGTGGCCAGCTGCCAGTGCAAGGGTCCTGGGTCTCACTGCAAGCCGCTGGCCAGTCGGGGTAAGAGGGTGTGTGGCGACCATGGGGAGGAGGGCAAAAGTCAGGAGTCCCTGGCAGGAGGCTGGGTGGCATGGTACTCTCGGGGATGGTTGGCTTACCTTGCGCCTCCCCCCCCCCAGCCTGCAGCACCGATGTGTGCCTCAATGGGGGCACCTGTCTCCAGGTGGAGGGCCACCGACTGTGCCATTGCCCTGCGGGCTACACTGGGCCTTTCTGCAACTTAGGTGAGTGGAACCCCATGTGGAAAAAAGCTTGGGGTGGGTGAGGGAGAATGGAAAAATGGACCAGGGGGTACCCACAGAGCCACCCGTGACTGCAGGGAGTTCCTTCTCTCCCTAGACATTAAGGCGACCTGCTATGAGGGCAGGGGGCTCAGCTATCGGGGCAAGGCTGGAACCTCTTTATCCGGTGCTCCCTGTCAGCTGTGGGCCTCGGAGGCCACCTACCGGAACATGACTGAGAAGCAAGCGCTAAGCTGGGGCCTGGGCCATCATGCTTTCTGCCGGTGCGCGGGAAGGGGCAGGCCAGGCCAATTTGCTGTCCCTTAGGGCCCTCAGGGGTTCCCCTTGCTCTAACAGTGCTCACTCTTGAGATTTGTAGAAACCCGGATAATGACACGCGTCCATGGTGCTACGTCTGGAGTGGCGACAGGCTGAGCTGGGACTATTGCGACCTAGAGCAGTGCCAGACCCCAACCCAGGCAACGCTAACATCTCGAGTTCCCCTTGGGCGTCAGGACCTGCCGATGCCCCAGCCTTCCACACTGCAGAAGCCTCATCCCACGTCCCAGGCGCCAGCTCTGTCCCACGCGCTAGATGGTTAGACGGAGGAGGGGCACCCAGAACAGAGGACGTGCACCCTGCTTATTCCAGGTTGTCCCTGGCCTCAGCCAATGTCTCCTTTCACAGCCTCTCCTGAGCATCACACTCCTCTGGCCAGGACCAACCCGGTGGGCTGCGGACAACGATTCCGCAAGCGACTGTCCCCACTCAGCCGCGTGGTGGGCGGGCTAGTGGCTCTGCCGGGATCGCACCCGTACATCGCTGCGCTGTACTGGGGTGACAACTTCTGCGCGGGCAGCCTTATCGCCCCCTGCTGGGTGCTGACCGCAGCTCACTGCCTGCAGAACCGGCAAGCTCCGCCCTCGGGGGGACCCCTAGGCGTACCTACTCCCTACTCTCCCGGGTCGCCCTTCTCGGGCCCCCCTAGGGGGTTGAAAACAGGGGCGCCCCCAGAACGTCTGTAGCCAGCCTGAGTGCGCTGTTCCCCCGCCCCCACCCGACCACAGGCCGGCGCCCGAGGAGTTGACGGTGGTGCTCGGTCAAGATCGCCATAACCAGAGCTGCGAGCGGTGCCAGACGCTGGCTGTGCGCTCCTACCGCCTTCACGAGGGCTACAACTCCATCACCTACCAGCACGACTTGGGTGGGGTGACCCTGCAGGGACAGAAAGGAAGGATGGCGAGGGCTGGGGCCCCACCCAGGTCGCCGCCCTAACCCTTCCCTCTTGTGGTAGCTCTGCTGCGCCTGCAGGAAAGCGAAAACAACAACTGCGCAATCCTGTCGCCTCACATCCAGCCCGTGTGCTTGCCCAGCGGTGCAGCCCCACCGTCGGAGACAGTGCTCTGCGAGGTGGCCGGCTGGGGTCACCAGTTCGAGGGTAGGCACAGCTGTTGGGAGCTGGTTAGAGACTTTTGGCTATCTGAGCGTGCACTTTTGGTAGCCTCCCATGAGCCTGGGGAACACGTTTCACTGACAGTTTTGTAAAACCGTGCAGGGCCTTTGTCTCTGTAGCACCTTTCCAGATTCTAGAATTCGCTGTCGAGGTTCCCAAATCCCTTTGGGTTTATCCTAGTTTGCTTTCTATTGTGATGATAACATGATAACCAAAATCAGCTTAGATAGGAAAGGCTTTATTGCTTACAAAGCTGCAGTCCACCATGGGTTGGGGTGGGAGGACCCGAGGCAGGAGTTTGGAGGCAGGAACTGAGTGAGAGAGAGAGAGAGAGAGAGAGAGAGAGAGAGAGAGAGAGAGAGAGAGAGAGAGAGAGAACGGGAAGAACAGTCCTTGCTACCTTACTCTCCACGGCTTGCTCAGCTCTCTTTCTTTTTTGATGTTTTGTTTTTTGGGACAGGGTTTCTTTGTGTAGCCCTGGCTGTCCTGGAACTCGTTTTGCAAACCAGGCTAGCCTGGAACTCACAGAGATCCATTTCCCTTTGCCCCACCCCTCAAGTGCTGGGATTAAAGGCATGAGCCACTACCGTCTGGCTGCTCAGTTTTCTTTTAAAAATTTCATTTATTTTTATTTTATACGTGTGTGTAACCGCCTGTATCTATACACATGCAACATGTGTATGCCTGGTATAGGGAAAGCCAGATCTGGAGTATAGGTTGTGAGCCACCATGGGGGTCCTGGGAATTGAACCGAGGTCCTCTGCAAGAGCATCAAGAATACTTAACTTCTGAGCCACTCCCCCAAATCTTCCTTTCCTTTTTTTTTTTTTTTTTTTTTTTGGCTTTTGTTTTTCAAGACGGGGTTTCTCTCTCTATCTTTGGCTGTCCTGGACCTCACTCTGTAGACCAGACTGGCCTCCAACTCACAGAGAGCCACTTGCCTCTCCCTCCGGAGTGCTGGACTAAATGCATGCATGCACCACCGCCCAGCTCCTCTTGCTTTCTTGCGCAACCCAGACCACCTGTTCAGGGATGTCACCGCCCACGGTGAGCCAGGCCCTCTTACATCAGTCATTAATCAAGAAAACACCTCACAGACATTTCCATAGACCAGTTTGAAGGAGGCGTCTTCTCAATTGGGGGTCCCAGGTGTCAAGTTGACGAAAAGAGACCCAGCACAGGATTACAGAAAGAATCGAACCTTCTCTTGGTTCTCTCTGGGTTCCATGTTACAAAGGATTAGGATTTTGTCCCCATGCTAAAGCAATGGGGACAGCTATTTTGGGAGCCAGGTTCTAAGATGTTGCGTGGGAGAGGGTAAGGAGTGTTTTCCTGTTCATTCTGACCCGTTTCTCTCTGGGCCTCAGTTTTCTTGCCTGTGAAATCGTTATTGGGTGGTCCCTACCACTCAGGCTTGCTCTGAGGGAGCCAAGTCAGGGTGGGTGTGGAATTGCCTGGTAAACTGGCCCACAAACAAGCTCTGGATTTGCAGGGGCGGAGGAATACGCCACCTTCCTGCAGGAGGCGCAAGTACCCTTCATCTCCCAGGAGCGCTGCTCCGACGCTGACGTGCACGGGGACGCCATCCTGCCTGGAATGCTTTGCGCTGGCTTCCTGGAGGGAGGAACCGATGCCTGCCAGGTCAGTCCTGGGGTCCGGGTTGGTGCTTTGCCCCTACCTGTCAACCTCAGGACAAGAGCAACAAGCTGCTTGTCCCCACTCAGGGTGACTCTGGGGGTCCTCTGGTGTGTGAAGAAGGGACTGAAGAGCACCGGCTCACCCTAAGAGGTGTCATCAGCTGGGGCTCCGGCTGTGGTGACCGCAACAAGCCCGGAGTCTACACTGACGTAGCCAGTTACCTGGCTTGGATCCAGGAGCATATTGCTTCATAACTAACCAGGGTTAGTCTTTCCCTCAGAGTGTTCCCTGGAGTGTGAGGGTGGCTATGGCATGATGGATGGCCACTGTGAAGACGTACTCAGGCATCAGGGGCACAGAAACTCAATAAAGCGCTTTGAAAATGACCCTCAGAATTCTCTCTTGAAACGCCAAGTGAGAAAAAAAGTACACCAACTCCCTCACTGCCTGGACAAAGCAACTGGCCACATCTCAGATCTCTTACCCAGGCCAACGTGTTTCCTTGGCCTCACTGTGTTAATCCCTGGGCAAGGCGGCCCTTGCAGATTGGACCCCAGAACTCACAGTCACAGGGTCTCAGCCTGGGCTACCGGGTCCCCGAGGGAGATTTTGGAACTAGAGCTCAAGTCCGTCCACCTGAGATCAATTACCTGGAGTCCCTAGGGAGACGGCAGTAGTGGTATGTTTTTAATACTCGCATATGATTCCTCGTGCAGTGAAGGTTGAAACCATAGTTAGGAATGTTCCAGATTGGACTTGGGGAGTGGTAGCTGAGCATGTGTGAGGACCCGGGTTAGATTCCAGCAAGGGTGTTTGGGGTTTGCTTGTTTTGTTCTTTTGAACTTTGAGGCTGGCATGGTAGTACAACTTCCGAGACTGCATTCCACGCTATGACAGTGAAAGCAGCTGGGGTAGGGGCCAGCAATCCGGAAGCCTTCCCGGACACTGTTTAGGCGTGCTTAGACGGTTCCTTACAGGAGAGGTCTGGCTGTCTGGACTAGCACCGTTCTTGCTCTTAAAATGCCATTTATTTATTGAGGCACGGGTCTTCCCAATGCGGAGATTGTAGGCTTGCAACCACACCGGGTTTATGTGGTGTTGGGGGGGGGGTCAATCCCCAAACATTGTGTGTAATAGGCACTCTGTCAACTCCACTCAGGGGCCTGAGCTACACACCTTTTTTATGTGTGAGCTGTTCCCACCCTCTCCTTTTTGGATACAGTATCTTACTTTGTAGCTCTTGGCTGGTCTGGAACTTGTTATGTAGGATAGGCTAGCCTTGAATTTACAGGGATCCACTTGCCTCAGCCTCCTGAGTTCTGGGATTAGGAGTGTGCCACAATGTCTGGCTTTTGAAAATTAAGAACAATTTTATGGTTTGTGTGTGCACAATGTGTTTATGTGGGTGAGTTAGTGCTGTGGAGGTCAGGAGACAACTGTGGAGTTGGTTTCTCCTTCTGCCTTTATGTGGGTTCCAGGGGTGAAGCTCAGTCCACCAGGCTTACAGGGCAACCCACCCTTATCTTCTGAGCCATTTTTAAATAATAATTGAAAAAGCTGTGTGTGTGTGTGTGTGTGTGTGTGTGTGTGTGTGTGTGTGTGTGTGGTTTTTGAGACAAGGTTTCTCTGTGTAGCCCAAGCTGTCTTGGAACTTGTTTTGTAGACTAGGCTGACTTCGAACTCACAGAGATCCACCTGCCTCAGCCTGGGATGAAAGTCCTGGAATTAGGGGAGGCAGAGGCAGGGGCAGGTGGATCTTTGTGAGTTTGAGGCCAGCCTGATCTACATAGTGAGTTCCAGGACAGCCAGGACTGTTTCATAGAGAAACTCTCATGAAAAAACAAAAACAAGCAAAGTGCTGGGATTAAAGGCGTGTACCACCATGCCCAGCCCCCCCCCTTTCTTTATTAAGTTCAATTTGTGTCTCTATGTGTGTAAGCTTGCCCAGGGTGGTCAGAGTTATCAGAGTGGGAGTTACAGGCCTTGGATGCCAACAGAGGTTATTGGGACCCGAACTCTGGTTCTCTGTAAGAGCAGAAAGTGCTCTTTCTTAAGGCTGAGCCACTTCTCCAGCCCCTCACCCATCGTCTTCCTTTTCCTCCTATGTGTTTTTAGAACCGCACTCCCCCACCTCCCCCACCCTTACATTCTCCACCTAGATGTTCTGTGACGTTTGCTTTACGTCACAGCCAGCCCTGCGAACTTCACGGAGTAGAGTGGGTGTTCCTTGCTCTCAGTGCTGTGGGCCACCCCGTCGAGCGCAAGCGCAAGGTTTAGGGGCGGACTCTGAGCAGAGATGGGTGACTGGAAGGGCTACATCAGTGCTGTGCTGCGGGACCAGCGCATCGACGATGTGGCCATCGTGGGCCACTCGGACAATCGCTGTGTGTGGGCATCGCGGCCCGGGGGTCTGCTGGCAGCCATCTCCCCGCAGGAGGTGGGTGTGCTCACCGGGCCAGACCGGCACACCTTTCTGCAGACGGGTCTGAGCGTCGCAGGTCGCCGCTGCTGTGTTATCCGTGACTACCTGTTGGCTGAGGGCGACGGCGTACTGGATGCACGCACCAAGGGGCTGGACGGGCGTGCAATTTGCGTGGGCCACACGCCGCGGGCACTCCTGGTGCTCATGGGCAGACGAGGTGTGCATGGAGGCATTCTTAACAAGACAGTGCACGATCTGATTGGTGGGCTGCGGGAGCAGTGCTCCTAGCGGGACAGCCAGGCCACCCAAGGTGGTAGAGGGACCAAAATAAACCGTGAACGGAGCGCTGTGGGCTTATCCTTTTTGTGCTTATGCGAGGAGTTGCAAACAAGGAAACTAGTTTATGAGGACACTCTTGCAGAACAAAACAATCCTGGTGGACTCCAGGTCTCCTGGGCCCTCCCGACTCCTGCTGTGGTAGATAGATGCCTTGTGCCGGAGTGCTATGGAGTGCTTTGGTACTTCCCCAGGGCCCTAGAACACCACAGCTGAGAAAGCATACTGGGGTAGCAGGCTCTCAAATTTTACCCCAGGCTTCAGCATTTTCTCACAGAATTTTCCACACACGTAGGCATAAAAGTGAAGGGGGTCATTCCCACCTCCCTCCCTCCCCAGCACACACCAGTCAAGGTGTGGGATTTCAGGATGGAGGTAAGTGCCCCGTCAGTATGTTGGAGATCGGCTCCTGGATACCTGTGGATGCTCAAATCTTTAGATACTCAAGTTTCTCCTACAAAATGACAGTTTTCAAAAAATCTGCCTGCAGCCCCTGGTGTGATCGCCAGGTGATCTAACCCTAATAGAATGTAAAAGCCAGTCATTGTGCTGTATAGGTAAGGAATACTGATTTAAAATATATATACAGCCCTTGTATCATCAGTACAGATGTAACTTTAAAATTTTTCTATCAACAGTAGGCACAATCGGCAAAGGTAAAACCCATGTATACAGAGGGCTAGCTGTATTTCTAAGTAGGTGACAGGATGTAGCTGGCTATTTCCAGAACAGTTCTAGGGCTCTCCAGGCATCTATATCCCATCACACACAGGGGGGGGGGGTCCACTGAAGGGACGTGTGTATTAGCTAGCATCACAATTGGGTCCCACTCTTCAGAGCCTCCGTAGAAATAATCCTTAGACTACAGGGAAGAAATGTGGCAGCCCCCCACCACCCACCCAACTGCCCCTCACTCAGCAAGCCTGTGGCAACCTCCCCCGTTGGCCACCAATCACTCCGCAAGCCTCAAGCCTGAGCTCTAGGGCACTGTGTAGAAGCCTCCCCTGTTGCCCCTCACTCAGCAAGCCTCAGCTCCGGGGCACTCTGTGGCAGCCCTCCCCCCCCCCCAGGTTGACCCTCACTCAGCAAGCCTGTGGCAGCCTCCCCTGTTGACCATCAATCACTCTGCCAGCCTCAGCTCCGGGGCACTGTGTGGAAAACGCAGAACTGCAAAGTTCAGATCAGCTTAGGAGATGCCTGGCTTATCCCCCAAGGCAGGACAGAGGTGGGAGGAGGATCCGTTCTCTGCCCTCTGAGCAGGGCAAGGCCTCCCTTGCCCACAGTTACCATACTGCCCCGTTTTCCAGTGGCCCCAACAAGCCTCTACTGGTCACTCATTCTGGAGCGCTCATCTTAGGGAGAATGAACACGGGGTTGAGGTGGGTGGGTTTACATGACAAGGGATACCAGGGTGTGGAGGTGCCGATTCACCTGGGGTGGCGGGTGGCTCTAGACTGGAGGGAGGGAGCTTTGATTATGGGTTGGGCTCATGAAGGCAGGGCCAGACAGACTCTAAACATAGGGGACTGAAGGCTGTTAATCCAGTAAGCGTTTGAGGGAGGGTGGTGTTGCTCACCGCCTTCTTGATCTTCTCTTTGTTCACAGATGCAAAGCAAAAGTATTCCCAAATAATGAGAGTTTAATTCCTTTCTGGCTTTCATCAAGAAGGGTGGGGAAAAGGTATCGTAGCAGCGGTGCTGAAACCCTTGGTGAGGATGAGGGAAATGTCATGGGGAAGAAGGTGACAGAGGGTTAGAATTCAGCCAGCGACTCAGACACTGGAATCTGAGCACTAGCAAACAATTCCATAGTCACTGGTGTGCGGCCACCTTTCATCCAGAGTACTCTTGTGTGTATAAGGGCACAAGCTCTGCTCTTGTTTCTACAAACAACCAAACTCAGGACCAGATAGCCTGCACCTTGCATACAGCCTCATGTGCACGTAACACACACCTTGTCTGTAGGTTCGTGTACACATGCATGGGTTGACACAATGTATACACATGGACTCTACCTAACTGATGGTCACACAGACTCCCCTAGCGTGTACTTGTGCACACTGCCTCTTAATTACAAAAGCCCACATCACTGGGCTGCATATGGACGGGTACCCAAGGGTGGCACAAAACCACGAACCTCAAATGATGTGTGTCTACGCACACACACACACACACACACTCCTCTGCCCTTCTACTGCGGGCTCCATAAAAACACCGTTCCCTGCTCCAGGCAGTAGTCTGGGCCTGCAGCCTAGAGACGGGTGGCATGGTGAGTAGGCAGAGCCAGGCGGGGGGAGGGCGTGGCAGGGGGAAGCTCCTCCAGGAAGACTCGAGGGGGCAGTTGGGGTGAACGGGGCTCAGGCCTGGCATAGCACAAGGTGGCGCGTGTGATAAGGCCGTCCAGGGGTTGCAAAGAATGCATCCAGCGAGGCAGGAAGTCCCACGTCTGCAGCCACTTGGGTAGGTGCCCAGGACTTCGATTCTGCAGGACATTGACAAGCACCACAAAGGCCAGCAGGGCCCCAAAGGGTGTGCCCACACCCACCATAGCCTGCCAGCCCGCCATGGAGATGCCAAACACCAGTGAGGGCAAAAGCAGGAAGCACACGAGGAGGTAGAGGACGGCGAACCAGCGGTACTTGGCGGTGCGCTTGCCCAGTGCCTTGGCCATGCGGATGGGCAGGCGTGTGCAGGGCAGTGGGTACCACAGCAAGATGCCCGAGATGTTGAAGAAGAAGTGGCAGAGGGCAATCTGCAGCAGAGAGTGCAGAGGGGCTGAGGAGAGGTCGCTCTCCCACGCGGACCCACCCGAGGCCCCAATGCGGGCCAATCACTCCAGATCACTCCAGACTGCTTATTAAAATACTGTGCTGCTGGACTACTTGGTAAATGACAACCGCCCCAAACAATCCACCCTCTCATGAGTTCCTCAGCTACAGCCCAGCCGCTGGAAGATCTGCCTCTCCGACAGGGTCTGTCTCTATGGACCAGGCTGGCCTTGAGCTCTTGGCTGGTTTTCCGCCAAGTGCTAGGATTGCAGGCATCTACTACCATGCCTGATTTTAGCAGCTGGTAAAGATTAGTTTCTGGCTTGCCTATCCTGGGCTTTTAATTGGTCAGCATCTTGTCAGCTGTTTGCTTCTAGACTGATAGCCCCTTTGCCATCTGCTTAACATCCCCAATTCCATGCATCCTTGGTCGCTCAGACTGGGCCAGGACCCTCTTGACAGCACACTGCCCCTGACTCGCTGCTCTTACTGATATAGTACAGCAGGGTTTCACTCTTAGACAGCAAGGTCCCGAGAGTGGAATTCAGTCTACTTTGTTCATAGTGGTTTCCAGGGAGGAGTGGGTAGCCTTAGCCGGCAACTGGTGTTGGCTGTGTATTGTCACATCCTCCACTGGGCCCCGGCCCTCTACAGCCACCGACAGCCCACTCTCCCACATGTACCTGGAAGGAGCTGGACAGCTTCTCCTTGGGGCTGGCCAGCGCTGCCAGGATAGCCGTTGTGGTAGTGCCAATGTTGGAGCCCAGTGTGAGAGGGTAGGCACGCTCAATACTGATCACACCCAGGCCTGGGCAGGAGAGAGTGTCATTCCGGCTGGCTCCTGAGCAAACACGCACAGCCCACCACCCTGTACCCATTGCTGGGCGGGGGCACTCACCGATGAGTGGAGTGATGGCCGAGGTGAACACAGAACTGCTCTGGACAACAAAGGTCATGCTGGCACCCACGACCATGGCAAAGTAGCCGGTGACCCAGGTGAAGGGGGCTGGGAAGTCTGCCAGGAACCCAAATCCACAGTAAGGCAAGTCAGTGAGAGGCCCTGGGAGAGCAGGCACTTGCTCTTCGAGGAGGTCGAAGGAAGTAATTGCCCCCGACAATCTAGCTGGTCCCCTGCTTGCCCTGAACAGCTTTCACTTGCCGGGCTTGCTCTTGTGGTCAGTGCACTTCCTTATTTGGGATCTTGCACCCTTGTGTACCTTTGTCCTAGCTAGGCTCTGTCCACAATGCCATGGCCAGTAGGTCAAGGATGCCCATGAACGCCAACATGTAAGCGTGCTGCTGAGACAGTGAAGCAATTGCTGAGGACCAGGTTCAATAAAGTGATTGTGTGTGTGTGTGTGTGTGTGTGTGTGTGTGTGTGTGTGGTTGTGAACTAATTTCAACCCTCAGAAGTCACAGGCAGGTGGATTTCTGTAAGTTTAAGGCCAGCCTGGTCTATATAGTGAGTTCCATACCAGCCAGGGCTGCATTGTGAGACTCTGTCTCAAAAACACAAAACAAGCAAATATTGTAAAAGCATAAGTATTTGTTGTGCTATATTGTTCAAGAAAAATGAAAAAATTCTGCTTCAGGACAGATGCAATCGTTTGTCTGAAATGGTTTTCATTCATGACTGACTGATCTGCAGATCAGGGTCCCACAGATGGAGAGTGTCAACTATTTCACCCTCCAGGGCCGCCACCTTGCTAGGAAGCCCTTCCTGGCCTCCCTTGCTTTTCCTACTCCGGAGCCCCATGGGCACCCATCTGCAGAGGTTTCTCTTATCATCAGTGTTGGGGATAGACCCCAAGCCTCAAGTATGCTGGGCGAATGCTTCACCCTCGAGCAACATTCTTACCCTTTGTCTGCTGTTGGTTCTATGTGGAGGGGTTTGGGGGGAGACGGCAGTGAAATAAAGTTCACTCTATAGTCCAGATTCTCCTCACAATTCTGAGATCCTGGGATCAGGATCCGCCTCTGTTTGCCCCACTCCTGTATCCTTAGCACACAGTAAGGGCTTAGTGTCTATTTGTCAGTTAAACAGAGGTTTTTTAGCTAATTGTGGTCATGCATAGCTGTAATCCCAGCACTTGAGAAGTCAAAGCAAGAATGTCACAAGTCCTTGGCCAGCTTAGGCCACATAGCAAGGTCTAGAGACTATGTCTTAAGAAAATCCAGACCAAAGGGAAACAAAACCGGCTTGTAAGGCTGCCCATCTGCTGGAGCACGCAACAGCCAGCA